TTAAACTATGTATGACATGATTGTTGTGACCCTGTCTTCATTGACAGATAAGTTATTGGTTTGGTTTCACCCATACCACACTCAGCATGGGAAACCATAAGTTCGAGGCAGATAGTTAGTAAACGCTTACAAATAGATAAATATTTTATCACTCTACAATTATTATAAAATATCTGGATTATAATTACACTTTCTTCTCTTCAAAATACTGTTTCATCAACCCCAAATAGTAAATTATTATTCAACTAACACTAAAATTTAAAAACAAAATAATCATACCATATGACCAAATGAGGGCGCACTAACAGCAACCTCAGATATTTTGATGTACTAGTAAAAGATTCTTGAATTAGTATTGGCCCAATAAATAATGAAAAAAAACAAAAACAGAAACCTTTCATAATAATATCTACATTGTATAAGATGAAATGAATGTTTACAACTAATTAGGTCTTTAAAATGTTTTTTTGATGCACGAGTTAAAGATGCATGAATCTAGCAAAAATTTTAGAGGTATTGCAAATTCTTGATATTTTTCAGAATGAAAGATTCCATCAAGATGACTTTAAGATTTCGGCATAGAATTGAATCCCAATTGTTTGTATACTTTGGAAAAAAGGAACATTCATAAGTAAAAAAAAAACAACAACATTATTTGGCTACCTAGAGCTTGTGTTTTTTGAATTTCAAAAAGACCATTGAAAGAATATTTAGGAAATTTTTGCCCTGGGCGCCACTGTCACTAATTACCGCCGACAACTCCTTTGATACCTTCCAAACACCAAAAAAATACCTACCCTATTAAAACTTGGTAACCTCTCAGTGTGTACTAGTTGGTGTGTGCAACAGTCAAAATCGCCATCTTTGTTTATATGAGACCCATATCCCGGCAAGGCGCGGCACGGCGCGGCGCGGCACGGCGACTCTAGGCCTTTAAGGACAAACAAGGCCTTTGAATGCAGTGAGGATCTATTGTTTACAAATCTGATTAGTTTTAGGAGGTCTTTTTTTTATTCCTATTCTACAATTATTTTCTTATAATTACTTATCCACGATATCATCATTGGAAAGTGCATATGTTGGTAAGGGTGGTGGTATTACACAAATTTGCAAAGTGGACATTTTTTATAAATACCCCGGTAAAACGCTTAGTACTGAAGAGAATATGTGTGACTGCATTGTCAATAAAACACAAAGCAATATTTGTTGTTTGATTAAAATGACGTATTTGGAGAAATACCCTCTTATAGAGCAAATACATTATTTAACTCATGAAAAAAACAAAAAACAATCCTGACTATATATTCTTTTGATTGAATAATTTTTAGTAATTCAGATAAATAAGTTTATATCAGTCTACGGGTATTTTTTTCATAAATGCAATGCATCGCTTGGAGTAATGTCATGTCCTACTCTGAGCTGACTCCAAGGTTTGCATACTGATTACAATCAAGACAAATAAGAAAATAAAATAAAAAAAATTATTATGAAAATATTTTAAATTTCATGTTGGTATTATGGCAGGTTTATCATCAACATAGTTGACAGAAATCAAACACAATAATGTACTAGAATAGTTTGGCCAGAAATAAACACACCACCGATCGGTAATTAACGATCTTCAATTTCGTTTGTTATTTAAGCACACCACAATTAAACGGTAGAGTAAACGGAACGTATTATTATTGTGATTTATGGAATGTGATGTTTAATTGCTATATTATGTAACTGTTTTACCCCCGGACAGTTTTAGAAAAGGTGGATATTGTGGACCTGGTAATCTTTAAAGCTGCTTACCCTTAGTTGACATACCTATAAGTGAATTCTTACGTCATAAATAAATCAACCAATGAAAACACACAGCCAATCAGAGGACTGGTATAATAATTATATAAGTTGCCAGGACCAAATGATACAGCAAATTATTCTACTAATGAAATCTGTAATAGAAAATCTTCATTTCGGTTGGGAATGGTACCCCGGTAATTAACAATTGAAATGACAAACTCTCTTTTGTTACCATTTAACATAATAAATTGGATTAATTTTTTTTATATTTTTCCAATTTTTTTATTAAATCCTAAAGCCAATGACAATTTATGCCCATTTGGTCCAAAATAAAAAAAAAAATTATATTGGTGGGAAAAACTATATCATTCAAAAGGTTAGTTAACATACAAATTGAGATTCTGTAAGTGTGACAGCGCCCTCTTACAACCTCAATTTAGCTTACTGGTAGAGGGCGCTATAACATGAAACTGATTCTGATTTTGATTATTAGGTGGATAAAATAAAAATATCTTGTACATCTTAAATCTGTGATGGTGGAAAATCATTTTTGTAACCAGAGAAACTTTGTGACATAGAGGATCTTTTAAAAAATTACATTTGGAAATGTTACAAATGGCATTTCCGTGGAGCAATTGTCAGCCTTATTTGTGGAATTCAAACGTTAAAATAAAACACTAAGTGACTGAAATGCATCTCATTCAGAAGATTTGATTTGGGGCCCAATCAGCGTTTAAGCTTCATAACAAGAGCCTTTTAATCATTGATGTGTTTGATGCCCTACACTGCGACTGTATCATTTCAAATAATTTGAAATGCCCCAGTTGTCGTGTCATACCACGGCATATTTGATGCACTACACTG